TATTTCAGCCGTTAACTGTTCACTGTTGAACATAAGCGTTCCCCATAAGTCAGTAGTTGCCACACTTGGTAGATGGGTTAACAACCGCAGTTAGGCATCGATTTTCACCCCAATTTTCGCTGTCCACCCCCAAGTGTGATACATCATAAGTCGTGTCTCGCCGTCCTCCATCCATCGTCGTACCTTTCATACGTCTCGCTTTCACTCGCCCATACAACCGACTTTGAAAAACGTGAATTTTTCACGTTTTTCCCGCATAACTTTCGAATTTTCCTCCCGCGCCTGTCCCGATTCTTTCGTTTCTGCCATCCACCCGTCGCCCCGCGTCCGACGAGCCCACTCTCGGCCCGATCGGAGCAACTTTCCCCACCTAAATCACACTTTGTCTCTTCAAAATATTAAAATCGAATTTTTTTGACAGTTTTTCGTACCTAACTCAAAATTTTTGTTCACCCCCTATACAGTTTCTCGACGTCATCGTTAAAATCTGATTTTTCCGCGTCTTTTGACATATAACACACCTACCTACTTGCCGCGGATCCAAAGTTCACTTTCGAACCGAGGTTACTTGGTGAGTAGTCGCGAAACACAAATCATCGATTTTCACCCCAATTTTCGCTGTCCACCCCCAAGTGTGATACATCATAAGTCGTGTCTCGCCGTCCTCCATCCATCGTCGTACCTTTCATACGTCTCGCTTTCACTCGCCCATACAACCGACTTTGAAAAACGTGAATTTTTCACGTTTTTCCCGCACAACTTTCGAATTTTCCTCCCGCGCCTGTCCCGATTCTTTCGTTTCTGCCATCCACCCGTCGCCCCGCGTCCGACGAGCCCACTCTCGGCCCGATCGGAGCAACTTTCCCCACCTAAATCACACTTTGTCTCTTCAAAATATTAAAATCGAATTTTTTTGACAGTTTTTCGTACCTAACTCAAAATTTTTGTTCACCCCCTATACAGTTTCTCGACGTCATCGTTAAAATCTGATTTTTCCGCGTCTTTTGACATATAACACACCTACCTACTTGCCGCGGATCCAAAGTTCACTTTCGAACCGAGGTTACTTGGTGAGTAGTCGCGAAACACAAATCATCGATTTTCACCCCAATTTTCGCTGTCCACCCCCAAGTGTGATACATCATAAGTCGTGTCTCGCCGTCCTCCATCCATCGTCGTACCTTTCATACGTCTCGCTTTCACTCGCCCATACAACCGACTTTGAAAAACGTGAATTTTTCACGTTTTTCCCGCATAACTTTCGAATTTTCCTCCCGCGCCTGTCCCGATTCTTTCGTTTCTGCCATCCACCCGTCGCCCCGCGTCCGACGAGCCCACTCTCGGCCCGATCGGAGCAACTTTCCCCACCTAAATCACACTTTGTCTCTTCAAAATATTAAAATCGAATTTTTTTGACAGTTTTTCGTACCTAACTCAAAATTTTTGTTCACCCCCTATACAGTTTCTCGACGTCATCGTTAAAATCTGATTTTTCCGCGTCTTTTGACATATAACACACCTACCTACTTGCCGCGGATCCAAAGTTCACTTTCGAACCGAGGTTACTTGGTGAGTAGTCGCGAAACACAAATCATCGATTTTCACCCCAATTTTCGCTGTCCACCCCCAAGTGTGATACATCATAAGTCGTGTCTCGCCGTCCTCCATCCATCGTCGTACCTTTCATACGTCTCGCTTTCACTCGCCCATACAACCGACTTTGAAAAACGTGAATTTTTCACGTTTTTCCCGCATAACTTTCGAATTTTCCTCCCGCGCCTGTCCCGATTCTTTCGTTTCTGCCATCCACCCGTCGCCCCGCGTCCGACGAGCCCACTCTCGGCCCGATCGGAGCAACTTTCCCCACCTAAATCACACTTTGTCTCTTCAAAATATTAAAATCGAATTTTTTTGACAGTTTTTCGTACCTAACTCAAAATTTTTGTTCACCCCCTATACAGTTTCTCGACGTCATCGTTAAAATCTGATTTTTCCGCGTCTTTTGACATATAACACACCTACCTACTTGCCGCGGATCCAAAGTTCACTTTCGAACCGAGGTTACTTGGTGAGTAGTCGCGAAACACAAATCATCGATTTTCACCCCAATTTTCGCTGTCCACCCCCAAGTGTGATACATCATAAGTCGTGTCTCGCCGTCCTCCATCCATCGTCGTACCTTTCATACGTCTCGCTTTCACTCGCCCATACAACCGACTTTGAAAAACGTGAATTTTTCACGTTTTTCCCGCATAACTTTCGAATTTTCCTCCCGCGCCTGTCCCGATTCTTTCGTTTCTGCCATCCACCCGTCGCCCCGCGTCCGACGAGCCCACTCTCGGCCCGATCGGAGCAACTTTCCCCACCTAAATCACACTTTGTCTCTTCAAAATATTAAAATCGAATTTTTTTGACAGTTTTTCGTACCTAACTCAAAATTTTTGTTCACCCCCTATACAGTTTCTCGACGTCATCGTTAAAATCTGATTTTTCCGCGTCTTTTGACATATAACACACCTACCTACTTGCCGCGGATCCAAAGTTCACTTTCGAACCGAGGTTAAGTAGTCGCGAAACACAAATCATCGATTTTCACCCCAATTTTCGCTGTCCACCCCCAAGTGTGATACATCATAAGTCGTGTCTCGCCGTCCTCCATCCATCGTCGTACCTTTCATACGTCTCGCTTTCACTCGCCCATACAACCGACTTTGAAAAACGTGAATTTTTCACGTTTTTCCCGCATAACTTTCGAATTTTCCTCCCGCGCCTGTCCCGATTCTTTCGTTTCTGCCATCCACCCGTCGCCCCGCGTCCGACGAGCCCACTCTCGGCCCGATCGGAGCAACTTTCCCCACCTAAATCACACTTTGTCTCTTCAAAATATTAAAATCGAATTTTTTTGACAGTTTTTCGTACCTAACTCAAAATTTTTGTTCACCCCCTATACAGTTTCTCGACGTCATCGTTAAAATCTGATTTTTCCGCGTCTTTTGACATATAACACACCTACCTACTTGCCGCGGATCCAAAGTTCACTTTCGAACCGAGGTTACTTGGTGAGTAGTCGCGAAACACAAATCATCGATTTTCACCCCAATTTTCGCTGTCCACCCCCAAGTGTGATACATCATAAGTCGTGTCTCGCCGTCCTCCATCCATCGTCGTACCTTTCATACGTCTCGCTTTCACTCGCCCATACAACCGACTTTGAAAAACGTGAATTTTTCACGTTTTTCCCGCATAACTTTCGAATTTTCCTCCCGCGCCTGTCCCGATTCTTTCGTTTCTGCCATCCACCCGTCGCCCCGCGTCCGACGAGCCCACTCTCGGCCCGATCGGAGCAACTTTCCCCACCTAAATCACACTTTGTCTCTTCAAAATATTAAAATCGAATTTTTTTGACAGTTTTTCGTACCTAACTCAAAATTTTTGTTCACCCCCTATACAGTTTCTCGACGTCATCGTTAAAATCTGATTTTTCCGCGTCTTTTGACATATAACACACCTACCTACTTGCCGCGGATCCAAAGTTCACTTTCGAACCGAGGTTACTTGGTGAGTAGTCGCGAAACACAAATCATCGATTTTCACCCCAATTTTCGCTGTCCACCCCCAAGTGTGATACATCATAAGTCGTGTCTCGCCGTCCTCCATCCATCGTCGTACCTTTCATACGTCTCGCTTTCACTCGCCCATACAACCGACTTTGAAAAACGTGAATTTTTCACGTTTTTCCCGCATAACTTTCGAATTTTCCTCCCGCGCCTGTCCCGATTCTTTCGTTTCTGCCATCCACCCGTCGCCCCGCGTCCGACGAGCCCACTCTCGGCCCGATCGGAGCAACTTTCCCCACCTAAATCACACTTTGTCTCTTCAAAATATTAAAATCGAATTTTTTTGACAGTTTTTCGTACCTAACTCAAAATTTTTGTTCACCCCCTATACAGTTTCTCGACGTCATCGTTAAAATCTGATTTTTCCGCGTCTTTTGACATATAACACACCTACCTACTTGCCGCGGATCCAAAGTTCACTTTCGAACCGAGGTTACTTGGTGAGTAGTCGCGAAACACAAATCATCGATTTTCACCCCAATTTTCGCTGTCCACCCCCAAGTGTGATACATCATAAGTCGTGTCTCGCCGTCCTCCATCCATCGTCGTACCTTTCATACGTCTCGCTTTCACTCGCCCATACAACCGACTTTGAAAAACGTGAATTTTTCACGTTTTTCCCGCATAACTTTCGAATTTTCCTCCCGCGCCTGTCCCGATTCTTTCGTTTCTGCCATCCACCCGTCGCCCCGCGTCCGACGAGCCCACTCTCGGCCCGATCGGAGCAACTTTCGGCCCTCCCACCCACCCAGTTGTCATTACTTAAGAAGGCTAACTTCCGTTAGAGGAATTCTATAGTTGAAAAAAAATTTTATCTCGAATTTTAACACGTTTTGCTGGTTTCCGTTCTCAAATTTATAGTTTTGTTGCTTCCCATAGTTACTTACCGTTTTCCCACCCCCTATCCCCCCTTCTCACCTTTACCGCTGTGAATCTAACATAACCTAACCAAAGACGATAAATTTGACCTCACATTCATCGTATTTTGGTTACCCACCCCCAAGTGTGATACCTTGTCGTTCGTGTCTCGCGATCCTCTATCGAACACCATATCTCTCATTCTTCTCTCTCATACACGCCCCTACAACCATCATCCAAAATCGTAAAATTTTCACGTTTTGCAGGGTTAATATTCAAAATTTGTTCCCACACCATATCCAAATTATATTATATCTACATACTTCTCTTCGCCCCTCGTCCAACCACTCTCGGCCCGATTGGACCAAGTTTTCGAGAATAACGTTCGAAATTCATTGCCACATATATCTCTCTTTTTATATCAATTATATAGATTATTAATAATAATTGTGTTTTCTCTTCTCTATCTGTCACCTTCCCATTCTTCCCTTAGTTTCATCCCATCTCAGTTTAGGAGACATCACCATGCCGATAAATAGGACGCCAGTCAGACGGCCAATTAATCTTCCATCTGACGTTTCTGCCAGGCGGAAGGAAGTTTCCTCCCCTATTGAGGACATACAGTCTAGCTTGCTCTCCTCTCCATGTCCCGAGTCCAGTCCATCTTCGACTCCTACACTTAGATTTGAGGAGGATCCCTTTTCACCACTGATGCCTACTACTTCGAACAACCCACCTGGTTCCCTTTTTTCCTCATGCCCGACAACAGAACAAAAGCCACAACCAGAATGCCTGGAGAAAATCCAACAACTAGCTTTGAGTATCGCGAGCACGCTACGATTCTCAAAAAGCGTCACGGCTGAAAATCGTAACAAGGTCATTGAAATAGCTCATGAAATTGCTAAATTGGCAAGTGGTACTATGGCCGCCCAGCTAGAGGTCGCTACAGACACGCTAGATGTTCTGAAAAGAGAAATTGGCTCAGTACGTGCAGATGTGATGGACATAAAAAATATCTTAACGGCCGGCACTTCTGCATCTGCAGACTCTCACGAAGGTGCAACAATTGCCGGTGAGGTAGTTGAAGGAGTTCGCAAAGAAATCGACAAGCTTGTCACCTACGAGCGTGCCCTCGCGTCGTGTACAACAACCTACGCTGACAAGGCTAGGATCATCCCGCCTAAGAAGCCGGCTGCATCCAGACCAGCAATTATAGTATCATCAACTGACCCCGCTGGATCCTCAGCTCACTACACTCTGAACACTATTAGGAAGAAACTGCTCTTTAGGAATATCGGTTATACCCCGTACAGAGTAGCCACAATTACGCATGGCCGAGTTCGACTCGAGTTTGACAACACTCAGCAGCAGAAAGACACATTGGAAAGACTCAAGTCCATTCCGGAACTACAGGCCGAGTCCGTCAAGAAAAGCCTCCCTTTGATCATTCTCAAAGGAATTCACAAGGACCTGCCCTCAACAGAATTGATTGATACCTTACTCGATCAAAATCCAAGCGTTAAAGAAGCAGCAACCTCAGAAACGGATGCCCAGTTAAGTTTTTTGAAAAATAATAGGAACCCTGTGTTATATAACGCCGTCCTACGAGTTACTCCTGCCATCTGGAGAGCCATTATGACCTTGGAAAGGGTCAATTTGGACTTTCAACGCGTTAGAGTAGATAACTTCTCCCCGTTTAGGCAATGCTTTAACTGTCTAAAGTTCGGCCATACTCGAGCTAAATGCGATGCCAAGGATGTCTGCTGCTCTCATTGCGCTGGCGCTCACGCCATCAACGTCTGCCCTGTTCGCAACGACAACAGTAAAATATGCTGTGTTAACTGTAACGCTTACAACCAAAACACTAGAGCCAAAGTATCAACGTCCCACAGTGCTACATCTAGTTCCTGCCCTAGGATTTTAGCTGTAAGGCAGGCAATTGCAAACAACACAAACTATGGTTAACTTAAGTCGCTGCAATATACAAAATTCTAAACATCATGAAATTAATATATTACAATGTAACGTAGCCCGATGTTTCAGGGCACAACATGAGCTTATGCAGAATTTCAACTCGGGCAACTACGACGCTGCGCTTATATGTGAGCCCTATACCGGTAGTAGAAACTTCATGGGAAACCCATATGACCATCATATTTTTCAATATCCATCTAACTCTCGAGTTAAGGCTTGTATCGTCATAAAAAAGGGTCTTATTAGCGCTATTGGATTAGCAGAGCACTCATCCGCCAACGTTTGCACGATCCAAGTAAATACGGCTGGCAAGAAACTTTTCCTTAGTTGCGTTTATTTAGAACCTAGATATGGCAATCAGGCAGACAAGCACACTACTATGACTGGACCACAGGCGCTATTAAAGCTGGAAGCTTTTATTCGTACTACTGCCGATGCTATGCATTTGATTTGTGGAGATTTTAATGGATGGCATACGGCATGGGGCTCTGCTTCTGTCAATTCAAGAGGCAATGAAATCATGGATTTCATAATCGCCAATGACTTGATCATCTGTAATCAAGGCTCAGAACCCACATTCACAACTACAACGCACGGGCAATTACGGGAATCCATAATCGATCTCACACTGGCGACTGCCGGAGCGTCTCCCAGAATGCGTAACTGGCAAGTTAACAGAGAGATTTGTCCATCATCTGACCACCATGCCATTGAGTTCGTGTACACAATCCGAGGGCGAGAGCTTCGTTGTAACCAAACCACCACCACATACAGATTTAATACTAACAATATCGAATGGAACAACCTCAAAGCACCGTTCATGGATCATCTAATTCAAACTGAAATAACGACTCAAAACGTTGAAGCCATGAACGAGGAACAGCTGGAAAGCTTTGTAGTAACTTTTATCAGTGCTATTCAAGCTGCATGCGAGAAACTTCTGCCTCGATTTCGTGCCCGAGCTCCGCGATGCCCTTGGTGGAATAATGAGCTTCAGAGTAAAAAATTAGAGGTAGTAAAAAACCACCACCTTCTACAACGTCTCAAGCGTAGGGGAAAACCTATGGAACAAGCCCTGGCAGAGAAGAACCGGCTTAAAGAGGAATACTCTAAGATGTTTAACGAGGCCTCCACACGACACTTCAGACAATTTTGTGCTCAACAGGGTAAAGAGGATGTCTGGGCGGTCACCAATCGCATAATTAAATCTGTTCCAGCACCTCAGCCACCCTCTACCCTGAGACTGCCGGACGGTACATACACCCAGAACTCAGTAGAAACGGCAAAGGTACTGCTCGACAGATTTTTCCCGGATGACACGCCAGATACTCGAGAAATACATGGAGTACGGCGAATCGAGTCAAAATATGAACCACACACTGAGCCGGAGCCACGGTATACGACTGACGAGGTCCATAGGGCGATTAGTGAAATGAGTCCGAGAAAGGCACCTGGTCCTGACCACCTCACAGCGGACATTTGCCAGTTCGTAGTGGAATGTTTTCCTGAACTAGTAACATCTATTATGAACAGATGTCTTACGTTGGGGTATTTTCCAAGAGTATGGAAATCTGCTATCATTAAACTAATTCCCAAGTCCGGCGGAGGGGACTTCTCAGATCTTTCATCATTATCATTTCGTCCCATAGGTCTTCTCAATTTATTTGGTAAGCTCTTGGAAAAGCTCACAATCGGCAGATTATCTTTTCATATGCACGCGAATAATAATTTTAACCCAAATCAGTACGGCTTCAAATCTCAAACGTCAACTGTTAACGCCTTATATGACGCCATCGACCATATCAGACAAGGCATTGCGAGCGGTCACCAGGTAGCCGCTGTGTCTCTTGATATAAAGGCAGCTTTTGATAATGCCTGGTGGCCGCTCATCCTCTGTCGTTTGCAGCGTATTGGTTGCCCCTCCAACATCTATCGACTGATGGCCAGTTACTTGGAGGATCGTATCGCTACTTTTAATTATGCAGATACCTCGATTAATAAACTACTTACTAGAGGATGCATCCAGGGGTCGGTCTGCGGACCTTTCCTCTGGAACTTGATTCTGGATGAATTACTGGAAATGGAGCTTCCCATTGGCTGCAGGCTGCAAGCATATGCCGATGATGTCCTGCTTGTAGCTACAGCTAAGAATGAAAGCAAGTTACAGGAAATAATCAACACTGCTTTAGAGCAAATACAGGAATGGGGTCTTGATGCCAAACTGACTTTCAATCCAGTCAAAACGCAAGCGGTAGCATTCACTACTAGGGCCGCTCGATGCAATCTTTACATGAATGCACACCCCATACAGTTTCACGACTACATAAAGATACTAGGTATAAAAATTGACCGTCGTCTCAAGTTCACGCACCACGTCAACCATATCATAAATAAAGCTAAAAAATTGTTTTCCAAATTAATTATATTTACCAGGCCAACTTGGGGTATTTGCTCTGAGAATATCAAAATTATCTACAATCAGGTGATACAGCCAATTATCTGCTACGGCGCTTCCATATGGCACTCTGCGCTTAAATATAAATTTTGCCAAAAAAAGCTAATATCCTTGCAGCGTGGCTTTGCCGTGAGAATAGTGAGGGGCTTCCGAACACTGAGCACAGAGGTCGCTATAATTCTTGCTCAACTCACACCCATTTGCTCTAAAGTGGAAGAAGTGGCAGAAATTGAAAGGGCTCGAGTGACTCGGGCGACTAAGATTTTACCCGATGCGATCCAGTGGGACTCCCCGGCACCCATAAGCGATCTGCTACATCCAGCACTGCGAAAGAAGATTAGTTTCGCCGAGGTCACTTCCACCGAAGAACTCACGACATTCCTAGATCCGCAATGTTATGCCGTGTATACAGATGGCAGCAAACGAGAGGAGGGTGTAGGAGCTGCTATAGTCGCTCATCATCTTAATAGAAAATTGTATACTAAAAAACTAAAGCTTCACCCTACTTGTTCTGTGTTTCAGGCAGAGCTCCTGGCCATTAAGCATGCTTGCGAATGGGTTCTCAAAGGTGAGCATACTCCGGCTGTAGTAATGTCCGACAGCAAGTCTTCCTTAATGGAAATTAGCAACCCAAACAGCACCAACTCGCTGGTCGTCGATATTCACGCATCTTTACATGAAGCTGATTCACGAGGCTTGACAATATCCTTCGCGTGGCTCCGCTCTCACGTCGGAATCGACGGCAATGAAGCAGCAGATACTGCCGCTAGAGCCGCGGCTGTGGGACGCTCCGCGACTGCATTCTCACTATTCCCTATGTCCTACGTAAAACATCATTATCAAACACTGGGCAAGGATGCAGAGAGACGGATGTTTGAAGACCCTAACAAGTGCTGCCACCTAAAAAAGTGGTGCCCATCATTTGATATACTCCAAGAGGTCCTAAGCGTATTGAAACCTGACTTTTACATTACACAACTTTTAAGTAACCATGGCTATCATAAGGAATACCTTTGCAGATTTCATATAACAACTGATGAATTATGCCCATGTAATAACACCGACATTCAGAACCTTGAACACCTCCTGAAATACTGTCCCCGTTTCGCCAGCAGCCGTTTAAATCACCAACTAGCGTGCCAACTATTAAACATTACGGAACCATACTCTCTTCAGCACATAATCAAGAAGGAAAACAGTACTAATTCATTCAAAACGCATTTGGTAAATATAATAGATAGCCTAAAGGCATTTAATAACACGTAATAATAAACTTATACAAACTATATTTATATATATTCCCCCTGATATACTATTATGTAAGTATAATAAACCTAAATACATATATATTTATATATATTTAACTATCCAGTGCTTCTAATAAAATGCGCTCAAACTTTATATGTGTTATAATACAATTCTTCATATGCGAAATACAAGGGGAAAACCCGATGTAAACCACTAGCATTGGGATTTTCAAATACCCTTACATATAAAAAAACCGCAGTTAGGCTTTTAGAGATTTTTTAAAAGGGGAGCAGCTGCCCATCCCTCGCTCTTCCTTAGTAACCTCTTACGAGACCCACGGGAAAGAAAGGGGTAGCCCATTCTATGCAGGAGCACACACGCAGCATAATTATTTACTGTAATTTATTTTTAACAATAGCAAAAAATCAGTTATAAATACAAACAATTATGTATTATGCGTAGTAACAATTTAACACTAACTTGAATTCTGAGTTGGATTCGCAAAGATATCATCTGGGTACAAAGCTATGTTCAATGGAACGTAAGGTATAATCTGAATTGATTAACGTTTTGTATCTTATAGATCTATTTAATTTATTATTCATCTTACTAATCTTACTATTACAAATAAATTCTTGTACTTAATCTTACCATTTAAGCGTTACTTAATCAAGCTTACGGTTAAACTGCTTCATTCGAATGGAATTTTCTAGAGATGAGCTCCTTTTTATTTTAATTCAGAGTTTTGCGGGTGTAAGTTAGATAAGTCCAGATCTTTAATGCAATTTTTTTTCTACCTATTTAAATAATTTTGCAGTTTTTGTTATTTTTAATCCCTGTGTGCTGTCGTATATATGTGCAAAATAAACTTTCTTTTTTTCTTTCAAAACTTTTGATAAACTTGAGGCATCTAAGTTTTATGATAATAAATTATTCTTTGGCTGTTGGTGAGTGCTAGCCGTAAATCTTAATGTTCATTTATAATATTTATAACTAGATAAAACCGTTAAAAATAAAAAAAAATTATTTCGCAATAAATATCAACTAACAATTGTAAAAAAAATTATGTGGAAACAAAAAGAATTATGTGTAATTTAAGCTGGTGTCCCATCAAAAAAAAAAACTACTTCAATTGTGGCAAAACAAGTTACTTTATTTTAAAAACTAAAGTATATCAGTTATACTGGATCTATATCGTTTTAGATAAATAATAATAATAATAATAAACGATTCAGAACTCAAAAAAAAAATATGAAAAAAATACAGTGAATTGATTACCTCTTCTTGGTAATCGGATAATAGTAAAACCATAATAGAATTGAACTGTTTCTCTTCGCATGTCATACTTGAACAAAACAAAACTACTGAGTATAAGATGCTTCGAAAAAGACAGTTGAATTGTTACGCATCACTGGACCTTTGTTTGGACCGCTACACCCAAATAACAGTTATGACAAGTGGTGCTTGGTGAATCAATCTAATAGATATTACAAGATTAAACATTCGAAATTGATGTTATGAAGCACTCGTGCGTACGATTCCTATCATTTTCAATCAATACTATCATTTTAACATTTTTTAATTGGAAGAACGATGATTCTATTGCATCGATAGACATAAAGTGGGCGTAGCACGAATAAATTGTAGTCAAGCTTATTTGTTTATGTCATATTTATCCCAATAATTATACACAGTTTGATAGTTGTTACTAAAATTTTGTCTCGATAATTATAAAGTGATACTTAAATTAATTAATTAATGTGTATTTAATTATTAACGATTTTACTGCACAATAATTTAAAACACTAACACGTGTTTAATAAAATTCTGTCTAAGTAATTAAACATTAATAAGTTGATATTTAAATTCTGGCTCAATTTATGGAAACGTCGTTGATTATTATTTATTTAAAATTATTATTTCAATACAGTTAATTTATCAACCATGTGTCATTCGCATTGTTAATTATGATCCGAGAATTTATAGCGAAAGTTACAATTTTTAGCGACTTTCCAAATAATTTTAACAATTCTCTTCCTTAAAAACTTTAATCAGAATATCTATATAAACAAAAATCAGTTGCCGATTTTATGTATGTGCATCACTAATTAAAATAATTGGCTAATTATTTCTTGTACCCATTTGTAATTGTCAGGACAAGGTTTGTAAAAGAGAAATGTGAATATGTATATTTTTTTCTATACACTGTTCGTAAGTATGCTATATAGTTAGGAAAAATGTATAGAAAAATATACTAACATTACTACTAGTATATGTTTTATATAAAAACTTTATAGATACTTTCTCCTTTCGGATTGACGTGAAAGTGATACGTGTTAAGTATATGTTACAATAAATTTTAGGATTTGTTAACATGTGTTAATGTGTGTAAGAATTTGTAATGTAAGGATTTTATATAAAAAGAAAGATTATTTCTAGGGGCTTTCACCAAATCAAATCTAATCTACCCTCCTGACGAGTACTTCCCCGAGTACGAATACCACGCTCCGAACATATCTAAATATTGTCTGTTACTGTAAAAACCCGAATTACAGTAAATTTTCTATACTTACTTCAGAGACGTGGTAAATGTCAAAAAAAGACAATATCAAGCCATGTTTAGAGCATTGTGTTATTATTTGTAGTCAGAAAGATAGGTTTAGTTTACTAGTAACTAAATCCAAAATTTGCCAATGTGCAGGCTTTTACAGTAGCATATACAAATAATGTTTTAATATTTAAAACAAAATATCTAAAGTTATAAGAAGCTAATCAATTCTTAAATAAAATAAATTGATGCCGAATCTATCCAAAGACATAACCGGAACGAATTCCAAATATACCCTATCATATAATTTTAGATGTAAGGAATGCTACCACTTTGAAATTATCTATTCAAGTCAGTGATTCAGCTGTCAATTACATTTTTTGATGATTGGACTTGTAATGTGCCTACGGGATTTGAGTTAATACGTTCTAATCAACAATTATATAATTTTTATTTTATTTTTAGACTTACTATTCATACTTGCACTACAACTGATTAATGATACAGTAAGAAAATGTTGTTATTCCTCGGTCTTCCCCTTCCTCTTTTGCCCTCTATTTTTTCTTCTACTATGCTCTTTAAAAATTGTCATGTCGTATAAGGTTACCAAGCATTTTGCCTCTTCTATTCTCTATTGTTTTTATTATTATTCTTTTTTCATTTATCCTTTTCAAAACTTCCTTATTCGTTACTTTTCCTGTCCAGCTTATCCTTTCCATTTTCCTTCATGTCTACATTTCAAATGCCTAAAGCATCTTTCTTTCCTTTTGCGTCTTTGTCTATGTTTCACACCCATATAATGTTGTGCTCTATGTAAGTTTTTTTAAAAATTGCTTACGGATTATTTTTGATGTAAATATATATTTTTTGTTATCATAGGCCTATGTTAATTGTTCTATATTAACAGTACTGTTAAAAATACTGTTACCAGTATCTTATATTACCTACCTGCGTACCTTCTAATTTATAAAAAAAACAGTGAGTTACTGCCTAATTTATCAAGACATACAATGTTCCACGGTTAGACACGGATCTTTTTCCTTTAAAAAAAGGATAATAACTTTCTATTACTGAGGAGAAGGGAAGGGATTTTTAGTAATGGGGTTTAGCAACCCCATTGCAATAAACCCTTTCAAAATCGATCTCCTTGCGATTCCGTAAGGAAATAAAATTAATTAAATCAAATGACAGGCCAATGACCTGCTTTTTCATTCTATATATATGATGATAGATGATATATGGGGTATATAATTAGTATAGATAGAATTACCACTTCTATATTACTCATAAAAAAATTACTATTATCACACTAACTAATAATAATAATAATTTTTATTCAAGAAAGATACAGTTGCATAAAGTACAATTTACAATTAAACTAGGTGACTTTATATAGGCATTTATTCGCATAATATGTTTTAATATAATAACTATCCGTACGATCAAATTAAACGTAAGTTACGTTTAAATTGATCGAGAAAGCTCAACTAGTTTCGAGACCATTCAGAGCCCTTGGTAATAAGTACAAAGTGTACTTATTTTACAGTTAGTTATTAATATTTAAAATTTTAATAGCATAGACTAAGAATGTTGTATGTAAATGCACATCGCCTATTGTTCCCACGGTCACCCTGCCTATTGGCGTGTGCTATAGTCATTAAAAATGCTTCCGCAATTAGAGATGGGATACGCTTAGCTTTCTCGCTACTAACACTCGATTATTAGCTGCCACTACTTATCGGATACTACCGGCAACTAAGCTGTGCGTGGTAAGCATTACCGCGCTGCAGTAGTGAATAATTTTGAAACATGAATTTGTAAGTCCATTATATAAATTTTTGTTTAATTATTTTAAATTTTTACTCCTTTCACATCTAACAATGGTTAGCCAATTGAAAAGATATTTATATGTACAATCTGATAAAAATATTAAATTAAGAAGAATAAGGACCACGGTTTTTTCGGTTGCAATGTGAAAATAAAATGTGCTTGTAATCGATCAAGTTAAAAATCCAGTTTGTACCAATAGTTCTAGCAGAACGAAAAATCGTAAGTCAAATATAAGTTTGCCTGGTTGAATGTTTTGAAAGTACTATGACGATTTTTATTGTCATCTTTGACAACCTTCGTAGTGCATTTTAATTCGACCAATTCAGGAATAAAAATTAAAAAGTAAATTTAAATTGAGTGTAGCTGTTCTGGGTTGATACAATTGTTGTGATTATGCATTTAAAAATAAATTAAATAAAAAAGAAACTTACTAATGAATACCTATTATTAACTTCTAAACCTAAAAATAAAAACAAAAAAATCTGTCAATTATACAGACAGAGATAATAGGACTACATAGTCAAGTCCAATAAAACAAATTATTATTTATAGCGGTAACATAAACCGGCCATTAATTGCCTCACTTGATGACCGTGTAGAAATTCAAATTAAAAATATGGCAGTAAAAACAGATCGTGATCCAGTTTTACTTCTTAATAAAGTGTAGTTGTGGCCAACGAAGGAATAAATATCAATCCAATTACGGTATCGCTACAAATTCTTGTAAACATCTTGTACGTACTTATACAACCAAACTGCTTGTGATCAAACTATATATAATTGGAGACATTACAGTAATGGAGTATAACTATTTCATTATTAGTAATATAGGTTTGTTTTTAATTGGTGAAAATGGAATGGTCACTCCGCCTACACTATCTGAATACGTTGGCGGGACATCAGTAAAAGATGATAGGTAAGGACGAATGCAGGTTAGTTGGTCCATCATGACGAATTCGACAACAATTAACCGAGATGGTTTCCTGGGGAGCCCATGTAAAGGTCGATCTCATAGGGTAGTTATGGGACTATTAAACTCCATTCCTAATAATTACATTAAATAATTGAAGTCGGCACAAATTCTATAATAAGGTGTGAGCTGTCTGAACGGTTTGAAATAAAAAAATAAAATCTGTATCAAAAATGTAAATTATTTTTAGCTTGACAAAAACGTCAACAATCTAAGTTTGATATGTCAATCAAAAAGAAAGTTTTTTTTTTTTGTTAAAAATAAAATAGATTTTACAGGGTGTGCATTTTAAAATAAAAAAAAAAAATTGTGCATTTTCATATTCGCCAAAATACCAGTACCACTAAAATGCGTTGAACAGTTTAAAAGCTACACAAATAAATATTGCACCCGTGCAAAGTCGGGGCAGGTCCCTAGTAGTCCATAATTAAATAGATTACTTGTCTGTTTACTTAATTTATTTCTAGTTAATTAATTGAATAACCAAAATCAAAATATTCTAACATCTTTACTAACTTTCACGTTTATAATATTAATAGGATTCTCAGACAGATATTAAATGGACAAAATAAGGAATCCCTCTTCTATTGGTTAGGCTGTTTATGATTAATTAATGGCAAATTGCCATGAAATTAGCGGGCGACAAGATTTCTTAGTGGTTGATCTCTGTTACAATTTCTTATTTAATTATTCAGTTTATTTCTTTCCTTATCGTTTTGTTTCAATCCCGTTGCTTTGCTTCGTAACTAGTTAGTTGAATAATTAATTTTAAACTAGTTTGAGTTTAATTAGTCTACTGTATTTTTACCAAAGACATCATTTGTCCGGGTTTTTTGATAACGTCGTTCATTCAAGAGATTTTATTTTTATTTTAGAAACGAAAACATAACATTTACCAGAGGGAGACTTTGTACAAAAGCCGATTGCTAGGGTATCTCTGTCCCATTCGTGTTTCAACTGTATAGCAGTTGTGTTTGCATGGCTGTGTTTCGGTTTGAAGGGGTGTTTCAGGGGAATTTACAGGGTACAGAGGAATAGCATCTGAATCCTTAGGAATGGCAACGCATTGGGGGTATCATGGGCGTAACAGTATACTCTGTAATGTCTATGGTACTGCTCATGTTTATAGGCGACGGTTACCACTTTTCATCAGGTGGGCCGTCAGCTTGTTTGTCATTCTTAGTTGTATAAAAAAAAATGCTGCATGCTTCTAAAATCATTTCTAATGTTAAATCTTTAGAATAGATGTAAAAAATAATATTTTGTTCTACTGAATCATATGATAAATAGGTGGTATTTCTTATTCAACATAATGATACGATTGTGTTAAACGAAGTCTTATACCAACCATCCTTAGTATAAATAATTTAAATTTGAAAATACATAGTGTCCTTTTATGTCTACACCTTCCTAAAAATATTTCTGTTATTATTTCGGGAGTCAAAACACATGATCTCACTTAAATATATCATTTTTATAAAAAAAAAATCATTGCAAAGTAAAATAAATGGCAATATAAATTACCGTTCAATAGATGGACAAATTAAAAATTAGTTCCATGCATTAGACATTCCTCTTTCACTTCTGGACTTTCGAAAATCACGCTATTAATCTTGATGGTAGGCAATTTTATCTCTTATTATCTCATTCGAGTGGAATTTAATGCAACAATGACTGGCTTTTAATTTCATTACCACCCACTGGCTGCTGATTTGACCATAGCAACCTTATATCTCCCGTAACAAAAGTGTATTGTGCACCAATGGAAACAAATTAGGAGGATGACTATGTGAAATCTATCAGTGAATCACGGAGATACATGTAATTTTATTTAATAGAGACTGATAAGTAAATTGACAATATTAATTTGATGAGAAAAAGTCTTCAGTACTTGTCTTATATAGGCCTAAAGAATTATTTTAATTTTCATAGACGACACTTCTCTATCAATGTTATTATACATTGCACTTTCATTAAAAATAATATTATATTGTGCTCATTTTATTTAAATTATCGATTAATGGTTTTCGTTTGGAAAAAGATTGTTATTCCAAAGCTAAATCACCCGCAATATATCACAAACTAGAATTAATTAAAATATTAAAATTGTTTTCATTAATTATATTACGATTGTATTTAATATTGTTATTTAATAAGAAATAATCACTGTCCATATACATAGGTTCCACGACTACAGGTACTGGGAGTCACTAGCCATAATGAGGCAAATACATTTTTCGATGGTTTTCTTGCCTAAAACAAAATATTCCTATTATAAGATACAGATACGATAATAATATTTATTATTATGTTTATTATTGATGGATGGGCTTTTAGAAAAATACCTTTAACATTGCAAACTCTTTGATTCATTGATTTTATAAAAGAAATGTATCGTTTATACAAATATACATGAGCGGGATGCAACCATATACTGTACATATAATCTACAAACATTTGTTAAACTTAGGTTTTATCACTTGCTTGTGGAGTTTGCAATATTTACTGAGGATCCTTTTTTACTTAAAATTTGACTGTAATGATGATGCATCTTGTTTGGTGTTATACAATAACACAATATAACACTGATAGTCTATAAAATTGAATTAGTAATTGTAAGCAAAATTAATTTTAATTCAATGTGCTTTTAAATATATATATATATATATATATATATATATATATATATATATAATTTGGTAACTATGTCACCCAAATTATTCTTTGATATTGTTGTAGGTTGTTTAATAATCACTACATGAACCATCGACATGGGTATCATTGCTAGCGGCGATGCAGGCGGCAGTCAGGCGCGCGCGCAGGTAGGGCGAACTGAAAGACTGAGACAAAGGGATCGGACCCCTCACTCGCACCACGTGGTGGGGGAGACAGCAGCGCGGGCGTATGTGCTACATTTTTATTTAGTTTGTAACCATTCCCCAACGTTAGAGCATTGTGCCGGTTCGGACTGTACTTTGCGCTCTGTTTTTCAATAGTGTATCGATATAAAATTCAACAGATGAGTGATAAGGTGTTAAGACTTTCGAAAGCTTATCAGTGCTTCAGTGCCGCCGGGCTCTGGCATGGGAGGCCGCAGAATGATTAAGGCAGCAGCTGTGCTGATAACAGTAGGGTACTGTAGCCTTTTAGTGTACCATGGCGGAGTAACTTTCAACTTCCAAGAAAGACCGGGAGCAGTGCAAGTGCCTGACCTTTCTATTGAACCCGTGACAAAAACAAGCATTTACAATAGTGGACAGAACAAAAACATTACTTTAGATGATATTTTTATTAGTGTTAAGACAACTAAACATTATCAGTATACAAGATTACCGATAATTTTGAAAACATGGTTTCAATTAGCAAAGCAACAGGTAAGAATGATTATCACCTATAAGAATTTTACTAACATTTCTTAACTTAGAATCATATAAGTTTACCGTAGCCTAAACAGGCTTTTAACTTTTAGTTACTTATCATCAAAAGGTAAACAAAACAAAACTTGATAGTAGTAATATACACACTATACAATACCCCTAATATTTGCCTAAATATTTATCAACTTTAACGGACTAAATGAAAATTTATTGTTGTTACGTGTAGTATATTCACAATTTAACATTTCCAAAAACTTCACAATATGGACGAGCAATTTCACTCAATGAAATCAGAGCAGGCTTTGCTTATCAAAAACCAGGGTTTGACGTTTAAATTTACAAATTCTATTATTCAGTCCATTGTCGAAATTCTAAATAGGCTTTCAAACTCATATTTTAGTAACTATTGAACATTATTTATAGTCCACAAAATGTCATAAAAAAGTCATGTATTTTTTTTTTATTATTTTATATCTGCAACTACAATTCAAATCAAATAAAAATACGTGAGTAAATAAAATTACCTATCTTCTGAAAATGAAGCTAAATATTATAATAATATACACACTAATAAAACAATATGTTTTTAGAGGTCATTTTATCCTGTAATCAAGCTTTAAAAATATATATTATATTTTTTTTTTTAAATTAAATCTTCAGAGAAAACTTTTAATTTCAAATAACTAAACATTATTTTTTAACTTCTTTTAACAAAGACACATCCACATTACTTACGATAAACCAATTGAATTATATGGGAAAAAAAATCTTTATTCTTATATCTACAATAAAATTCATAGGTCTTAACTATTGCTGAACTTTAATCTTTTATCTATTCAGTAGTAAAGTTTAAGCAAAAATAAGACTAGCTACTCTGAGCAAAATCAGTAACAAAATTATAACAATCTTTTAATATAATGTTTTCAAGGATAACTTGCTAAAGTGTATTCCTGTATCTATAGGAAAATGTCTTTTTTTAAAAAACAATGCAGTAATTGATTTAGTTTATTTTACATTTATTATCGCTATAATGTTACTGTTTTTACCAAAAACAAAGACAATAAAATTTAAGGATCATAAAAATACTCCCGCAGTGTTAAATTTTAATAGCAAAGTGATAAATGCACTAGAAAACGTTCGCAGCGGGAACCGTATATTTATAAGGTCAATATCGCCATTAACTTCAGAAATAATTTAACAAAGAATGTTTTAACACTCCGATTTTGTATTTGGTTGGTCAAAAGACTATTTCAAGTTATTCGCTAATTGAGCCTTAAAAGCATTTGTGTGTTTCATTAATTACCATTACCATTGTGAATGCTAATGAATATTGTGGTGACTTTAAAATAAGATTTTAAAAGCTCAAATCATTATAGTATGTAAATGTTAAAAATAATTTAAGTCTATGTTATAACAACAATGTTTTAAATCACAATGATCAGTATTATAAGAATTCATTCTTTAATACATATAAAACTAACAAGATATAAATAATACTTATTCGAATAGATCAAGTGAAACACGATAAATCCAAGTGCCCTTTATATTGAATAGTAAGAGTACAAAAGCCAACAATAGAGAACGGACTGCGACTAGTCGTGCATTGCCCGTTTAACTCGAGTTTCCTGAATCTGGAGCGTGCATAATCAACCGTTAATCCGGTCCGAAGGACCAACATAAATAACTATTGTGCATGGACCCTGCGCTTGCGCGCGTGGCACGAAGGCGCGCGCGCCGGCCACGTGACCGGACTGCGCTCGTTTTAGCCCTTTTGTATATTGATGTATCGCGTTTGATTTATCTGAGAATTTGTGATATTATCATTTTTCAAATTTAATAGTAATCAATGAAACTTTCTATAATGAATATTTTTTTACTTTCTTATAAGGATAAATTGTAGAAAATTCATTTCGGTCAAATTTTATTCGAATCACTATTAATATTATTATATTGCAATCATACTACATTTAATATTAAACATTGATGCAATATTTGAAATCAATCTTTCTGTAATAACATAAAATCTGTTTCTCAAAGGCTAAAGACCTAATATTTGGATATCGGGTATCCAATTTCTGCTTATCGATATTTCGAAAGTTTTTATGCATCCATTTCTTAGATATTAACGTATACCTCTGTTTGTTGTTGACGTTGTAACCTTAGCTTTTGTATAGAGACGTAATGATCAATATCACCGCAAAAAAAAACAGAGAATTCGTCAATACCTTAAATTGTGATAGAATGTTTTATAGGCACATAAATTTAAAATTAAACAAGAAAATTTCGCTGAAAAAATATAACAGCTGCTTCAATAGTGATAAAATAGATATAGCACCGTTATACATATTCCAAAAACAATTACACGTATTATATTCTGTTTTAAATTGGCCAAAATATCGTCCCCACGTTCACTTGGTAATTGCTTAAAAAGTAAACAATCGTGTCGAAATTTAGGAAATCCAGGATTATTCACAAAAGATAAATAATTCTTGATTTATAAGCAGCTTATGATCACCTGGAACCCAAGGATGGAAGATAATAAAGATAATTTAATATTTTGTTCTACCAAGAACATCGACTTCAATATTTTTATTGTATTAGATTCAAACATTGTGAAGCAATATTGGCCTATGTAAGTAGACTCAAAATAGCGTACTTGTATTTTTGTTAAATTCTAATTGATAATTTATAATATTTAAAATATAGTTATTTTTAACACGTTTTCCGTTATATGTTTATTATATTATGTAATATTATCATTCTAATATTTATTAGTAAACGCATCAGCTTTTAGCTCTACACCATTTGGTACTTAATTGCGCATTGTAATATATCCTATGCTATTTATTAAAATTTTATATTATTAAATAATAATGTATTAAAATGTTTAAAAACATCTTGCAAATTTCAAGACTAACATGACGTTTTAGGTATTAAATACGAAAATCAAAATTCATTACACGTTATATACTCACTGGTTCGGAACCGACTCTTCAGATTACAAATTGAGTTATAAACGTATGCACTATACAAATATACTATTGTAATACGAAAAGCGTAGAACGACATTGAAAACTACAAACCTACCTATATTTACAATCGTATTTATTGCATTTACTGATGTTGCGATTTAAAAATAAACTTATAATAAAATATACCTCAATAGCAACATCAGAAATAATATCAGAATACAGAGGGAGACTTTGTACGAGAGTTGTCAGTTTGGATATCTCTGTCCCATTTGTATTTCTGTCGTGAAGCAGTTGTGTTTGTATGGCTGTGCTTCGATTTGAAGGGCGGGATTTGGCAATGAAATTACAAGGTACAAAGCCATAACAACTTAGTCCTCAGGAACAGCAATATATGAAGAGTATTATCGACAACACAGTATACTCTGTTATGATCTTGATACTGTTCATGTCTATTCCATCAAGTAAGCCGTCAGCTTGCTTGCCATCCTATGTTGCATAAAAACATTTTAAAAAAGAAATAGAAAAAGTTAGCTTTTGTTTTTCTTCAACGTAGCAAACAAGTAAATAACGCCTTCAGCACTAAAAGTTTTGACAAACACCGTCAGATATTTGCCAGTAACTTGAAGTTTGTGCGGCGCGAAACTGAGAATATTATGCACCTTGTATTTCGTCATATTAAAAAACACTGTTATTTCTCATTTGCCTGTACGTATTAAGTTTTATGTATTTATCATTTCCTCGCAACTTTCTCGGCCTAACTGGAATATGGTTACTGAACGGGATAAAAAGTGGCCTATGTCCTTCTCAATACCGTATAGTACCTGTATACCATACCATACCATAATAATTTGTTAAGCCGTTAAAGAGGTAACAAACAAACTCACGCTCATATTTAAAAATATTAGTAAGGATTCACATAATAATAATTTATTTACATTAAAAAATTTACAGCGGAATATCAATTTACTAAGTACTTTTACATAATTAAATATTAATCTAAGCCAATTGAATTATATAGATTTTGATAATAATATATCATATCTTTTATTTTTTATAAACTTTGCCTAAAATACAGAATGTACTGTATCAAAATATTTATTTAGACATTTTTATAATCTATCTATTCTTATTAACAATCTGCCTTAGGTTCTAAGGTAATATCTGTAAAGTTATATTCGATGAAGAGTGCCGGGGAATAAAATAACCGGAACAAGCGATCTTAATGCTAGTTGTTAGATATTATTGACCTCAACACGGAATGCTGGAAGCCATCTTTATTAATTGCTCTAGAATTTGGCACGATGAGCCAAATGATCTGATCGCACCTATTATCCCTCATTGGGGGGGAAAGGGATTGTTAGTAATGGAGACTAAAAATCCCATTGCTAGGAATAAACTCAATCAGGTCGACCTCCTCGTGGTTCCCTCTGGAAACTATCATGGTTAATTCCTGATGAATTCGTCATGATGGGCTAACTGGCCTATTTTCATTCTCATCGATCACCCTTCACTGGTGCTCCGCCAGCGTATCCCATTAGCGCAGGCGGGGTTACCATTTCATTTTCATCCACAAAAAAAAAAAAAAAAAAATTATCCCTCATTGGTATTCAGCAAGTATAAACAAAAAAGTTATTATTCTATTTCCATCCAAAAAAAAAAGAAACAACAGAATCTGTGGCATTGCCTTAAATTAGTAAAGCACATTTAGAAGAGGAATCTACTTACAATCCCTTATTATTTGCTTATTGTTATTACTTTGAATTATTTTGTTCCTTATATGAGATAAGGAGTAAGTACAGTTTATTTTCACACTAAATGATTTCATTATATATTAGAGAAGTTAAATATAATAGCATACACTGAATCTTTGTGATTTATCCGGTTGGTCACGTTAGGCAAACATGTTGTGAACAAACCGGGGTGTGTCTAATGTTATTTACTGACCTGATTGTATAAATAGTGATCTATGGAAGTGACATATAAATTGAGACGTTAACTTTGAGTGCGAATTGAATTCACGTAAACGGATCTATATATTCAAAGCTCACTTGAATAACTCAATTTAATAAGCAGTTGGTAAATTTCCGACTACTGGGTTAATACTCTCCTATTAAGTGAAAGATCAAGCGGATTAAACCATTACCATCCAAATAGTCAAATAAAGTATTTAAAGTACTAATTTATTCTGATACTAAGTGGTAAATAATTAGACACCAAGACGGTCAGATTGCCTGAATGACTAAATTATCAATTAGATGAGTTGTTTAAATTTGTTTTAGGATACTATAATAAAACTCCAAATTGCCCATATTAGGTATTGGCAATGTATGTTGATGATTTAAAAAAATTCACTAGTTATTTAGTATTTACTTGTAGCAAAAAGATTAGATATCCTTTTGCTACAATTAAATTCATTGATATGTATCGAAACCTTGACAATAATTATCGACAACACTGCTAGTGTTACAGATGTCCATAAGCTACAGTTTACCATCAAACAGGCTGCATGCTTATTTTTTTATACTACAAAAGTGGCAAACAGCCACCTTTGTGATATTAAAAAAAAAACATATTTCCGAGTAGTAGGAAAAATATGTCTGCGTAGAATGACTAAAATCCACAATGATGTTTGGTATGTGATAAGTTTTTTAATATCCCTTTTAACTAAAATTGTTTCTTGTCATAAATATAAAATATGACCACAATTTAACAGATAACTAGAGGTCAAATACATTTCGCATGTCGCGAACGATTACATGAGAATTCGGAATGCATTGCTTTGAATTATTTAGATATAACGTAGTTTTTATGCACCTTAAGCGTCCTTAATAAATAATCTGAAAAAGTAAAAATTCTCAGTGTTCACTACAAATTCTACTACTTCACTCACAATTACTACTAGTTAAATCACTACTAGTTCACTACAAAATAGTACGACGTTGCAAAATAAAAAATTGTGTAATTCTTACAGGCACAATTATTACACTAACGCTAAAAACTATGGCATGCCATCTTCATATAGCTACTTACAAATTTACCTAGTAATTTGTAAACTTAAAAATGAGTATAATAAATAATTAGTAATCATTTAAAACTTAGTGGAATTTAGTTTTTTTCGCAACTTTCGCATTATTTACACATATTTTAAATACACTATTGGGACTTAATGCGATGGAAATTAATTTTAGTTAATTTTCTGTAGATAAATAGTACTTACATACCTGCTGCTTTATTGCCGACGTTTCAATGTGGACTGGATTCTAGACCTGCCATGACCACGACGTGGTGCAAAAATTTTTCATCATATTAAGACCCGATAGTGTATTTAAAATTAATGTAATATATTAGAATTACACTAAGTTTTGCCAGTTATGGCACTATAAGTTCCACTATAATAAAGAACTATGTCACTTCCATCTAGTTCTTTTCATTGTATCTGCTTTTGACGTCAGGTATTATCGGCGGGTGTGTATTGTCAACAGACGACAAGATTGCGGATGTACCGCCCTAAATGCTAATATTGTGACTTGTGATACCTCCACTATATTATATCTAAGTATGTAGGCGTTGTTTTCATAAATAACACATAAATACTAACCCTCGACATGTTGACCAGTCGGTCAATTTGTTAATATAACGATTTATATTCATTAAAATTTTACTAGTTTGATAAAATCTACATGTTTTATCTTACATTATTATACATTCTACTATCTTTATTAATTTAGTAAGTTTAAGTCCCTTTATCTATTATAATCTAAGTATATTTATTTGTGGTCAACGGATAAATACAAATTGTGAATTGTAGTGTTTTTATAATTGAATTCAAATAAAGAGTGTTACAATTCGACATGTTTTTTTTTTTTAAATATCTTCGTCGATTCTGCGCTTATGCTAATTTTTCTTACCTATTTTATTATTTTAATTTTTTTACGAAGTATAAAACAAAAATTCTTTTTATTTTCTAAATTATATAGGTATTCATTGTAGCAAAATATTATAAAATTGGCCATAAATATAATAAATATTCGTACCATATTTCAAATTTAAAAATATAAAAGTATTTTAGATGATATATTTGTATGTAATGAACATTCACAATTTGTTTTTTATTTGAAATCAAGCATTATCTGCTTTTGAACTAAGCATAACCATGCAATATAAATACTAAACATCTGACAGAATAATAGACACTTAATTTTTTTTAATATATACATGTATTTAATATACAACAAATGTCCAGACCAATACAAATACATGCAGCTGTGAATACAAATGTTTGTATCGTGCGGGTATCGAACCTACAACCATCTTCCGATTGTTAAACCGCTACACCAAGGTCGTCGAACAAATTTCGCGGAAATGTTCAACACGCCGTGAGGAAGATAACAAAGTTTAGCTTGTATGGTACTTTGCATATTTGAGATAAGAAACGAAAGCAGCTTACACGATATATCTGCACACATGTATAAAAATTAAGAATCCAATTACACCGTGAAAGTATCGTGTAGAGGAAGTAATATTTTATTAAAAGTCAAGTAATTTATATTTTTTTTATGCAACTTAGAATGGCAAACAAGCATACGGCCCACCTGATTAAAAGTGGTAACCGTCGCCTATAGAAATGTGCAGTACCATGAACGTATCAGAGTATACTGTTTCGCCCATGGCAACTCTCCATGTGTTGCCCTTCCTAAGGACTCAGGTGCTATTCCTCAGGGCACACCTGTAAATTTACTGCCAAATCCCACCCTTCAAACCGAACACAGCCATGCAAACAATTGTTTCACAACTGTTTGATAGAAACACGAATGGGACAGAGATGCCTAAGCAAACAACTTGTACAAAGTCTCCCTCTGGTATATATTAATTAACCGGGGAAAAATACCCCGTCTCCAACCCATAAGTGTACTACAATAATGGCAATTTCATAACGGCTGGAATAGCCATTGGGTTTCCAAAAATTACAAATTTACAATATTAATAATCATTAACAAGAACTGTTTCGTTGTTTTTCATTTATTTTCTAATAAATTCTTATAGCTTTTTATACTTTCTTATTATTAGGTAACCAATAAATTCACGTCCTGGCTTTTATGAGCACCTGTGCAATAAATATCATATAAAGGCAGCTAGTATCTCCTTGTCAACCCCTATATAAAGCTTGCCCCAGTTTTCTTGTCAGCTAAAGAGTATTTATTTTAACGGCACCTACATAACAAACTAATCGATAAAAAACAAACAGTATACTCTGTTATGTCCATAGTACTGCTCACGTCTATAGGCGACAGTTACCACTTTTCATCAGGTGGGCCGTTAGCTTGTTTTCCATTCTAAGTTGCATAAAAATGTGTATTTGTTGATATACATCCGACACTACCTGTAGTAATAGTACATAGTCCATAGTACTGCTCGTATCTATAGGCGAAAAATTGAAAATTTTACGAAACGGTTACCACTTTGCCTCACAAAGTGGTAACCGTTTCGTAAAATTTTCAATTGTGTGCATTTATTATTTATTTTTAAATATAATTAACAAAAAATTTACATTTCTTATTAATTTTAGAAGAGATAATGTATTCAAACTGTATTATCCTTTGTTACAGACTTGGTTCTTCACAGATACAGAAAACCGACAGCATCAAAATCAAACCAGTAAGTCCTATTACCAACTTTCATTTCAACTTCGTATATTAAAACTGTTTTGATCTCCATTTGTTGGAACTTGAGATAAGGGTTCCTTTACCTGAAATAAGTAGTATTGAAATTTTAACTCTATGTCGTTATGTTACAGTTTATTTTCATGTGCTTCCAGATGGACATATGGTAAACACAAACTGCTCGGCGTCGCATCAACGCAAACACCTCTGCTGCAAAATGTCGGTGGAATATGACCATTTCCTGGAGAGCGGTAAAAAGTAAGTAACTTAAATTTTATAAGAACTCAAAGAAAAATGAATAGCTTTTTGAAATATTTTTGCAATTTCGCATAGATGTTTCAAAGATTTTTTTAGACAAAATCACAGTATTGTAACTTTATTAGTATTGATATAAAAGTATATATTAGTAATATTATTATTTACATTCTTATATTATCATACCTTCATATTCATTATAGTAAACATGAAACATCTCTCCTCTTACTGTTCTTATCAAACAATTAACAACAATTAAAGATCGTTTAAAATCTTGATGAACATTAGCTGGATTGTTATAATCAACTCCAAACGGGGAACGAGATGATATGAGATACATGTAGGAAAAGCTAATCATTCATAAAAAAATAATAGTTCCTTCCAATTTTAAACTATATAAAATTGTTTAGATCTTTGTTACTAAACCTCGCTTGACGCGACAAGTGTGAATAAAATTTTATACACAGAGGAACTGTATTCTTAATTGCCTTGCCATTATCCTATATACACACGAACTAACCTATAAGACACAGTAAGTAAATTACAACAATGCAGTCGTTCATAATAACATATTTGTATATGTACAAACATCTTTGTTTTCACATGAGTGACCACCTCTTACGGCAAGCCCGAGTCAGTGTTCGGCCTCATTGTTCACTGATTTCATAACAACAGTATTTAATAATGCCCGTTCAGAGGTTATCATTTAGTCCACAGGAAACCCAAACACGGTATCATTATATCATTAAACAATACAAGCGCCAATTAGCGTTCGTTAAAAAGTTTTATCTATTGTGCCAACATTCAAAAAGAAGGTTCCATTTCATCTGTATTCTTTAGCGTTCCGCACCTCTTGAGGGAACTACGGAACTCGAATTAAATCAGACGAAATTTGTTGCCATTATTGAAAATTTATTTTTTTATAAATAGGCCTAAATAATTCTAGTTATGATTTGTTTTCTACACTTAATATAAAGAAAAATAATCTTGGAAAGTTTTCTTCTCGAAATAACTATGTATCAAATATACGAATATAAACATTTATTATTTTTTATGGATTACTACATATACATAATAAATTATTAAATTCGATAATAGTACATTACTGCAGTGACCAGCAACTGAGGTATTGATGGATGAACGTACAAATGTGGCCAAGGCGCAGCCGAGGCACACATACGTGAGTCCATCAATGCCTAGTTGTGGCCAAGGCTTGTATAATACTTTTCTCAAACAATGCGCGAAAATCAAAAACACAATTTTACTTTTTAAGTTCAATGACGAATAAAGAACAATAATAATTTTTCGCGCGCCATAATGTTTCTTTGTTTTTTTCAATAAACAGCTTTCTATTTGCTAGCCAGTTCGAAATTTAAATAAAACTTTTTATTAGTTACTTTCTTGGTAGCCACGTTTCGAAGGAAAAGGTCATTCCATTTTTAAATTACAGGACAGATATGAGTTTATATAGTAATTTATCTGGCCGCAAAACACGACAGATATGGATTTTCATACAACTTTTGCCGGCCGCTGCCCGTATGTATTTGGCCAGTACGGCAATTTTGATTTATCTCGAAGAAGATTGTCAAAATAGTGCTCACATTTCCAAGCATGATTGAGAAAAAACATATGCTGGTTCTTTTCTAATTATCCTTAATAGAGAAAATAGACGATCTTTTTTTTGTGAAGTTTAATTATCTCCTAACAGTTGGAAGATATTGATAACCTAACTCCTACACGTACATAACGTGGATATAAATACAATAATCGAATGATAGTCGGCAGATATTTGAACATACATAATTACAATCTGCCACACCGTTACCTAGTCCATCAAAGTGACACATCTCAGCAATTATAACGCAATCAAAGCACTATTTGTAACATGTGAAATGATGGATGCTATTAATCAGTCCCGTAATTATAACCAACGTGGATCTGAAAGCTACAATTAGAACAGGAATTAGAGATTTCATGGTAAGCGGTGCTAAACATACAATACTAAAAAGATTAACATAAGAGACGGTCTACATTGTATTAATATAATACTTATAAATATAAAATTTTGTAATGGTATTTTTTTTATCATAATCAAACGGATATTAAGCAAAATTTTGTACCGACGGACTATAATTATAATAAATTAATATAAGAATTATTTTTTTATCCTAAATAACATGAACAAAACAGTGACACATGTTTAATTTAATATTAAAAATGTGAAAATGTATTACCTAATTGCTCAATTACACTTAAACGGCTAAATGAAATTTGATATACAGGCCGTATTCTAAATCGAGCTGACAAATATACTGGAATACACCTAGTAATATTAATATTACAAATGTGAAAATTTATTATTATATTTTATTGTTCAATTACATTTAAACGGTTAATGAAAATTTTGTACACAGGCCGTATTCTAAATCGTGCTGACAAATACACTGGAATATACCAAGTAATATTACTATTACAAATGTGAAATTTTGTTATTTTAATGCTCAATTACACTTAAACGGCTAAATGAAATTTGGTAAACAGAATGTATCCTAAATCATACTGGCAAAACCACGGGATACACCTAGTGATAAACACCCGTAATTTCAAATCAATGTCCTTAAAAAGGGATAACTTAATTTCTTTCTGCTAGGTTCTTTAGAGAACCATACTAAATTCTTTTATTAAAATATTCAAAATTTTAAATATTCCACAAATATATTGCGAAAGCAAAGAAAAAAGTTACAAATACTTGTAAAGGTAAAGAAATTATACCACTATAATATGTATTATAATAATCTATAAATCTTCATTTTAACAAAGTATAGCTAAGTTTTAATTTTATCTCCAATCTAAACGTGTGCCACATTAACCTTAAATTGGTGCCTAAAATTGCTTTTAAAACGGTACCTGGAAGTGTAATTTCTTTAATAGTCCAATGATTCTCAAAGTTTTTTTATCTAAATGACCGTTTTAGTTCAAACTTTACTTGTGAATGCACACTTGAGCCTTTGTTTTTAGTAAAAACAAGATGCTCTTAACTTCTGTTTTTAGAAGCCTGTTTGAATAAATATTTGATGTTAGTTTCTCTAACCACCCCAGTGATCATATTTATCGATCTCACGGGTTATGGCATCGTTTTTCTTTAAAAGGCAGCCGAAAACGTATTTATAATTCTTCAAACAAAACCTCTCTTGTGTCGTGTTACTATGGAAAACTAAAAAAATTTATTGTAGGTTATAATTTAAAAAATTATTGCTCGTAAGCAGTTAATTTAAATACTAAATGTAATAAAATTAGTGTGATGTTCCCATAGGCGAGTAAGTAAACTATGTAGTGTACACTTTCTTCTACACACAACCACACAATACTTTGTAATCAACTTCCAGCAGCAGCATTTCCGAACCGATACGACATCGTAACCTGCAAAAAATAGCATATTCCTTTTAAAAAGCCGGCAGCACACTTGCAGTTCATCTGGTGTTACGGGTGCTCATGAGTAGCGGTTCTCGCTTACTATCAGATGAGTCGCGTTCCCGTTTGCCGTCGTTTCGAAAAATGTCGATTTCAATAAAATCAACGATAATTGTGCCGAATTGGGAAGGATATCGCGTAACATCACTCACACCAAAAATATTCAAATTAAGTAATTTCTCATTTCCTTATTCGATTATAATATTTAATATTATGTAACTTACAACTCTCTAAAGATAATTTTTTTTTTGTATATTTTTGTAACACTCCATTGTCCTCCTGTTGTAGGTTATTTATAAATACAGGTGTTTCTTTGTAATAAATATAAATACAACCGTAACGATAAATTGTTTTCTTTTTATTTCCAAACTTACGAAATTAATATTAAAGATCTGACGTTACCTCTTACCCGTGTTTACTGTTCTATATTCTTGTTCTATGATATTTACTCAGTCATCTTCAAACTGTAAAAGGATGTTAAACCAAGTGAAAAGCTTTTTAATCTGTAGACATGAAACTCAACAACCTCGATGTTGAAATACACACAACAAACGTTAATGGTTTTTGAAGAGCAAATTCAATATTATGTTGAGCTTCACAATGATTTTCACGCGTTTACACAGAATCCCGGTGATTGTTTTTGTTGGCCTCCTCTTTTTTTTTTACAGCTGCGATCCATCTTGGTACCCCTTAAAGTTATTAAGCAACTTCTAAAAGGGAGATTTTCTCAATACGTTTGTATTTCTTTTCGTCGCCAATTCTGAAACGATTTTGATAATCCTTATTGCTATCGATAATAGGGTTCACTCCCGTTTTGCTTTCAAATTTGTGACGATTGAAGCAATCGCTTTTATGTGGCGAAAAAAACTGCTCGACGCGAAGTAAAATCTATTCTATGCGCAATCATTTATCTAAAACATATGATTACAGGATTATATGTTTTAGATAAAATACATATTTCTTCAAATAAATAGTTTCTTTTGTTAGTTAAAATACATATATTTAAAAAAAGAAAAATTAAATAATAAAAATCTATGATACAAATATTATTTATTAAAGTCGTATCACTATCAAAGCGTTTATCGACTCTCAATCTTCAATATAAATGATAAAAGCTTAATCAATACATTGGGATTAAACCATTAATGAATTACGGCAACCCTCTAATGAATTGACAATTTGCTACGGCAGTATTGATGTTAAATGAGACATGGCTCTTTGTTCGTAGAGATTAAACCGTGTCGCTAAAGCAGGATTCACACTATAATATTCTCGGTACATTCTCGGTCTGATAAAATATTATTACGTAAGAAACAATCAGTCTTTTTCATAAAAAAAATATTGTAGGTTTTAAGAGCTATTTAACTAAAACTTTCAATAATGCTTTCGAACCTTTAAAATAGTATGTTATTCATAAATACTCAATAAGCCCTTAATAATTAAAATAAGTATATTGGAGGATTTACGTTATTATGTTGATGAGGCACTGAGAACGAACTGAACGAACGAGACGTTATAGTGTGAATCCGGCC